TCTCCCCCAACCCAGTGCCTGCCTTGGGAACAGGACCTGCATTATGGCTGGGGGTGGGGGCCAAGCTCCCAGAGGAGCCCCAGGCCCCACAGCCCATTCACTCTGTGCACCTGTTCTGCCAGGGGCAGGCCTGCCCACCGGTGGCTCCTGCCAGTCCCCGTGCTGCCTGCTGCTCTGCCACCCTCCCTGTACTGCTCCCCCACCTCAGCCATATTCTCCAGCCCTACAACTGGTGTTTGGAGCCACGGTGGTCCTGGCCTCCCTGGTGATCTGATCCAGCAACTGCACCAGGCTGGGGGAGTCTCAGTCCTATGGTGAGGGAGGCTTCGGAGGGTAGCTGGCTCCAAATGCAGGGTCAGCGTCATCCATGTGGCCATGCAATTTGAAATCAGCCATGGGATTGCACGCAGTGGCCGTGCCTGGGGTTTGGAGGCCTGAGCCTGTGGTCCACCCCTGCTCTGCTCTGATGTCCCATGTGGCACTGGCTCACGTACCACACCTCCCTGAAGGTCATGTGGCTTGGGCTCTAGCTGTCACCCTCTCACAGGCAAACGGAGGGCCGGACAAGTGGCATGACATGATTGATTGACACAGCTCACTTTTGGGGTGCCAAATCTGGAGTTCTGAGGTCACCCCAACTCCCAGAAAGCCTCCCAACACACACAGCCTTCCAAGCCCCCAGCCCAGAAGTTCGGGGCCTCTTTCCTTGTTCCCACCTGGGACTGCGTGTTTGCTCCAGGCTGGCTCTGGCCTTGGAGGTGCGGCCTGCTGGCTCAGGGCCCTGGACAGGCAGAGCCACCACCCCCATCCAGCTCAACACCCAGCATGCTGTCATCTGGGGACCTGGGAGCTGCTCTATGGACTCGACTGTACAGACCGGGCCCAGGTGTCTTGGGGCTTCCTCCACGGCCTCCCTCTGTCTGTACCCTCTCTGCTCCCACCTCCTGAAGGGCTGTGTGCCCTCCCGCTGTCTTGCCCCAGAGCTGCCAGCCACTCAGCACCACAGGCGGGAGCACGAACTCAGGCCTGCGTGGAGCCAGGCTCTCTGCCGTGCCTACCTGGGCCCAATTCTTGCATCACCCCCCCAACTCCTGTGGCCAGGTGCCAGGTGCATGGCCTCTAAGGATATGCCTGGTGCTGGGGCTACAGCTAGAGGCTGAAGGAGGATGCCCTCCTCCACACCTGCAGCCACTTCTCCTGTAGACTGGGGAGGTACAGGTACTCCCTCACCAGGAAGCTGGGCCAGGGTGGCACCAACGTGATACTCTTGGCTGCCCCCAGGGGGAGCTCTCAGACAAACTTCACAGCAGGTGTCTTCAAGCACCAGGAGGTATCTGACTTGTCACCTGGGTGCATGGCCTGGCATATCACACACATGCGGGACTAACTTTTCTTTTGTTTTGCTTTTTGAGACGGAGTCTTGCTCTGTCACCCAGGCTGGAGTGCAGTGGCACGAATCTTGGATCACTGCAACCTCTACCTCCTGGGTTCAAGCGATACTCCTGCTTCAGCCTCCCGCGTAGCTGGGATTACAGGTGCACGCCACCATGCCCGGCTAATTTTTGTATTTTTAGTAGAGATGGGGTTTTACCATATTGACCAGGCTGTTCTCAAACTCCCGACCTCATGATCTGCCCACCTTGGCCTCCCAAAGTGCTGGGATTACAGGCATGAGCCACTGTGCCCAGCCACTGATTTTTTCTTTTCTTTCTTTCCTTTTTTTTTTTAGACTGAGTTTTGCTCTTATTGCCCAGGCTGGTGTGCGGTGGTGCGATTTCGGCTCACAACAACCTCCACCTCCCAGGTCCAAGCGATTCTCCTCAGCCCCCCGAGTAGTGGGATTACAGGCGCCTGTCACCACACCGGGCTAAGTTTTGTATTTTTAGTAGAGACGGGGTTTCACCATGTTGGCCAGGCTGGTCTTGAACTCCTTACCTCAACTGATCCCCCCCGCCCTCAGCTTCCCAAAGTGCTGGGATTACAGGCATGAGCCACCATGCCCAGAAAGGGACTTTTTTTTTTGAGACAAGGTTTTGCTGTGTCGCCCAGCCTGGAGTGTAGTGGCACAATCTCGGCTCAGTGGAACCTCTGCCTCCCAGGCTCAACCAATCCTACTGCCTCAGCCTCCCGAGTAGCTGGGACCACAGGTGCATGCCAGTGCACCCAGCTAATTTCTGTGTTTCCAATAGAAATAGGGTTTTGCCGGCTGGGCGCTGTGGCTCACGCCTGTAATTCCAGCACTTTGGGAGGCTCAGGTGGGTGCATTACTTGAAGTCAGGAGTGCAGGACCAGCCTGGCCAACATGGTGAAACTCCATCTCTAATAAAAAATGCAAAAAGTAGCTGGGCATGGTAGCGGGTGTCTGTAATCCCAGCTACTGGGGAGGCTGAGACAGGAGAATCACTTGAACCTGGGAGGCGGAGGTTGCAGTGAGCCGAGATCATTCCATTGCACTCCAGCCTGGGCAACAGGAGCAAAACAACATCTCAAAAAAAAAAAAAAAAAAAAAAAGGAATAAATGGGGTTTTGCCATGTTGCCCAGGCTGGTCTCGAACTCCTGAGCTCAAGTGATCCACCCACCTTGGTCCCCAAAAGTGCTGGGATTACAGGCATGAGCCGCTGTGCCCGGCCATGCAGGACTTTCTATCAGAGTCACCATCCTGAGAAAAGTTAGGTTTCCATCATTCACATCCACATCTCTTGCTACCTTGCAGGGCCCCGTGCAGATGGGAGAGGCATAGTCAGGACCAGAATCCCCCACCCACTCCTCCCTTACCCAGCCGCCTTGGAGACCCAGGGTGTGCCTGTGATGTTCTGGGCACTGGGAGTGCAGAAAAGAGCTGGACAAGGCCCCTGGCCCCAGGGAGCTCATGGAGCGATGGGGCAGGGTGTGTGTATGAGCAAACATGCGGGCTTGGCAGCACAACCCTCCCCAAGCCAGTGTGAGGAGCTGGGGCAGGGGAGAGGGACCAAACTCCAGCCTGGCACAGAGGCTACACATGGGCCATGCCAGGCTGGTGCCCGAGACCTCAAGGGTGGGCTGAGATGTGGAGGCTGCTGCACCTCAGCAGAGCCTGCCCAGGCCGGTCTGGAGGTGAGCCAGGCCCATGCCTCTCCACAATAGGTGCAGTGGCCTGCAGGGCCCTGGAGGTGGACTCAGGGGATGCCCGGCGGGCCCCCCGTGCCCGAGGGGAACGTCGGAGGCACACTATCACCAGCGGCGTGGACTGCGGCCTGGTGAGCAGGGGCTGGGGCTCTGTGGGGCTCTCCATCTTGTCTGGAGGCTGGAGGCTGGGATGGGAGCAGGAGGGCCTTGAGCCTGAGGGAGTCCATTGTGGAAGTACAGTCGGCTCAGCGCATCTCTCTCCCCACGTGGGCTTGAATCCCCTGGAGGGACAGCCCAGGGTCAGGCAGAGGGAGGTCAAGAGGTCGTTTAGGACAGCTATGGTAGCTGCCCAGCCTGCCTCATGAGGTCACTGCTGCAAGCCAGTCTGGCTCCCCTGCTGTGTGTTCACCACAGGTGGACCTCAGGAGGGTGGGCTCAGCTGAAGGGTCAGTCACCCCTCCCCCAGGGAAGCCTGAGTGGAGGGGCTAAGAAAGGCCAAGACCCCTCAGCAGGAGGCACGGGGTTCCTGCTCCAAACCGGCCTACGGGGCTCACACACGCAGGTGTCCTCAGAAGCGTGCGTCCGTGCCTGTGTTTGCAAATGTGTACATGTGCTGCTGCATTTGTGCCTGTGACTCTGGTGCCCACCCACAGGCAAGCTCATGCATGCATGGACGTGTGCGTGCTCACTGGGGCCAGGCATTCCATGTACATGCACGTGTTGCAGCTGAAGCAGATGAAGGAGCTGGAGCAGGAGAAGGAGGTGCTGCTGCAGGGTTTGGAGATGATGGCGCGGGGCCGTGACTGGTACCAGCAGCAGCTGCAACGAGTGCAGGAACGCCAGCGCCGCCTGGGCCAGAGCAGAGCCAGCGCCGTGAGTGCCACCGCCCTGTCCCCAGGTCCCCACACTTGGAGACCCCAGCTAACCCCAGGCACCCCTGGGCATTATGGCTGCCCCTATTCCCGAACACAGTGGCTGTCGATTGCACCCAGGGTGCTGGGACATCCCTTTTTCCCCCCGTGGCTGCCCCACTCCTAGGGCCTAAGGCGCCTTGGGCAGACCTCCCATCCCACGTCAGCAATGCCCCTGAGATCCCTCTGGGCTCTCTGCAGCATCAGGAGGCAGGAGAGCCACCTGTGGGAACCCCTGTCAAGGCACCATGCTGGCCCTGGCTGGCCCTCTTCTCTGACCACTCGTCCTCTGCTTTCTTCCCAGGACTGTGGGGCTGCAGGGAGCCCCCGCCCACTGGGGCGGCTACTGCCCAAGGTACAGGAGGTGGCCCGGTGCCTGGGGGAGCTGCTGGCTGCAGCCTGTGCCAGTCGGGTGAGTGTATCCCAAACTCCCACGCCCACACTGGGGCCCAGGCCAGTTTAGTGCTTCTCAGCCCTCGTCCAGGCCTGCCTAATCCTGCCCTCCCGCAGGTCCTGCCCCCGTCCTCCTCTGGGCCCCCCTGCCCTGCCCTGATGTCCACTTCACCCCTGGGCTGGCAGCAGCAGACCATCCTCATGCTGAAGGAGCAGAACCGACTCCTCACTCAGGTAGGGCAGGCGCGGGAGCGGTGTGGGTGGGTGACTCCTCATCAGGGTAAGGCAGCCGGGAGGGGTGCGAGGGTGGGGATCCGCAGGCCTTGACCAACTGCGCACCTGCCCAGGAGGTGACCGAGAAGAGTGAGCGCATCACGCAGCTGGAGCAAGAGAAGTCGGCGCTCATTAAGCAGCTGTTTGAGGCCCGCGCCCTGAGCCAACAGGACGGGGGGCCTCTGGATTCCACCTTCATCTAGTCCGTGTGGGCAGCGCAGGCCCCCAGGGCCGGCCTGGCACTCAGCCCTTCGAGGGTGTGCGTCCCATCGCACCCACCCTCTCTGGCTGGAGACCCCCGGCAGGCCCAGGCACAGTCCCGGAGTGGGCGCCTTCCTGCCCCCCTTGCCAGATGGGCTCCCCAGGCCTGCCTCCGACTGGCCCCCGCACCAAGCCCTTGACTCCCTTTTGGCTCCTGGTGCTGACATGGGCTGGGACTCTCTTGAGTCCGCATAGTCCGCAGCTACTACTGCCGTTGTCAGTGGACAGTGGGGGACCCCCCCACGAGTTACCACCTCCCGTTTCCAGCGGTGCTGCCCTGGGTCCTACCTCCAGGCAAAGGCACTGCTCCCGCCAGGCTGCACTTCCGACAATGGCCAGCAGAGGGCGCGGGGCGGCTCCGACGCGGGTCCAAGGGCAGCTTTCCCCCTCAACCAGGGCACCAGGACAAGGTGGCCGTAGCTCGGACGGAAGCAGATGGAGGGGGTGGGGATGGCCTGTAAGCGGGGGGTGCCCGCCTGGCAGGGAAGCCCCAGGGATAGCAGTCGGACTTCAGGTCTTGGCCAAGGCTGAGGGACTCTGGCTGCAGCGGATCGGGGCGCCAGGCGGTCGAGAGTTTGGCCTGCATGTGCCTCCTGCAGACCCTGGGGTGATGGCCTTCCTCATCCTGGCCAGGACACTGCCCCACGTTGAGTCCCACACAACAACCTGTGAGCCTGGCTCCCCAGGAGGGCCCCCAGACAGCTCCCAGGCACGTCATAGGCAAAGCCTGTGCCCCCCGACTCAGGATTCTCAAGGTCTGGGGTCCTGCTCACCCCCCTTTCCTCTCATGCCCAGCCTGACCCCAGGTTTCAGCTGGGAGAGGCCACTTCCCTCAGCCAAGGAAAACGAGAACCCGCAGGGGACAGGAGGAGGCTGGGGCAGGTCCCCTTGGGTGTCATTCCTGTCCCCCTGCCCAGGCCCACTCCCGCTGGTGCTGGGATACACACTGGTGGGGGGCCCCTGCTTAGCCCAGCCTGGAGGGCCCCAGTGCTACCAGAACCAGGGGGACGGCATCATGGATGGGTCCTGCAGCCCAGGGCTCCGATGAGGGGGCAGTGTGTGTGGGGCGCAGGAACCCCTCATGTCCAGGGCACTTTGGTACACTGTCCCACAAGGCACCTGTCTCAGAGGAGGGGTCCTGGCAGGCAGCGGGGCAACTCCCTTCCGGAACCCAGCTCCATGCTAACCTGCCCATAGCAACCCCACTGAGCCACATCCCCGGCTGCACCTGGCCTGCAGGGGCGTCCCAGGACAGGCCCAAGCCAGCCCAGCGTGCAGCTGCCCTCCTACCCTGAGGATGGGAGGGGGCTTTCCAGGGGACATAAGGATGCCAGGCCTGGATCTCCTGGGCAGGAAAGGGAGCGGATCCTGAGGGCCTGTGCCCCACACCCCCAGCCCCAGGTGGACTGCAGCGCAGTGGGTGGGCCAGTGGCAGCCAGGGAGAAGCCCCCCCGTCAGCAGGCTGGGGTCTGCCCACCAGGGCCTCCCCACGTCTGCCTTTGAGGGTGCCTGCCATGCCCTGGGGGATCCTGGCATCTTTAGAGGGCTGGAAGCAGGAGACAGAACAGTGTCTGTCCCGGGGTGACTTCATCAGGAGACCGCCCACAGAGCTGCACCCCGCAGCTGAAGCGGAAATGTCAGACAGGCTGGCACCTCCAGAAAAACTGCCTCTCAGCCTTGCTATTCCGTACAAGGTGAAAAAAAATAGGTCTTCCAAGTTTACAGCTTGAAATCAGGCTAGTGTGTGGCCCTGGAGACCACGAGGGGAGAATTTAAAGTGGCCCCTACTGGCAGGGTCTAGGTGGCTGGTAGAGGAACATGCAGACCCTGCCGGGAGCCCAGCCTAAGGACACAGGGCGGGTCAGTCTCCTTGCAGGATGTGAGCAGCGTCCCTGGGCTCTATCCACGAGGTGCCAGTAGCGTGTGCAGGTACATACATGTGCGTGCACACCGTTATGACACCCGGAAGTGTCTCAGGACGTCGAAATGTGTCTTTGGGGGCAGAAGTGTCCCCATTTGAGAATCTGCCCCAGAGGAACACCACCACACCAGGCCTCAGGATTTTGTGTTGATCAAGTTCCAAGGAAAAGGAACATCTCAGCCGGGCGTGGTGGCTCACGCCTGGAATGCCAGCACTTGAGGCCAGGAGTTCGAGACCAGCCTGGGCAACGCAGTGAGAGACCCCATCTCTACGAAAAAAGAAAAAGAAAATAAAAGAAAAAAGAAAATGAGATCTCCGCTTTTAAAAATTCATAAACACCACAGGAAACAACACACTATGAGACCCAGCAGAAGCAACAGATAGACTCTGTAGACCCAGATCCTGGAATTATCAGAGAGAATATAAAGTAACAGTGTTTTTATATCTAAATAAATAAAAGAGATTTCTGGAAATATGAACAAGGAGTGGTATTTATAGTTTCTTACTCCATAAAAAGCATGATCTCTTTTTTTTTTTTTTTTTTTTTTTTTTTTTTTT